ATCCAATTGTTTGAGATTCCTCTTTTTTGAAGTTTGCTTGTCTATGAATTTAGAAGAAAAAAGCACATACACACAGATCCTAATCCATCGTGAACCAATTGGAGGAGAGGTAGATTATGACTTGAAGTGGGACAGTAGAAGCAGAATCCCCTCAAACTCATCTAGTAGATCTTTTTTGATGAAAAATTACATTTTGAATAGTGGCCTAGCTTCCCCAAGTTGAGTTTTTTAGGTCACCATGTCCCTTTGATTACATCTTTACCATATTATCTCTTCCAGATGCGCAATTACCATCTAGGCGAAGTCCAAGTCTACCAACACCAATTCCTCCGTCGGTTCCTTCTCCGATCCCACTGACGACGCGCTTGCAATTGCGACGACTTCATAACGGAAGAGCTGGATTTCGAGCAACAAGTCGGATGCTCAAATTGCACCTCAAATTGCACCTCAACTTCTCCGGAGCCAATGTCGGATCTTCTCGGCAAAATGAAAACTCGTCTTGTCGAGTTTTTGGATTCAACAAATAGAAATTTGGATGTGAAGGATTTGCTGGTAATGTGAGTTTTTGAAAATTTTTCTATGAATATGTAAAATTGTTATTTCAGACTATCCATTCTGAACGAAAATGGAGTGAAGGTCATCAAACATGAAGGATTAACTTCTTCGGGACAAGAGAAGCTACGGTAGGTACAGTTATCTCATTCACCATCAGAAACTTCTATTTTCAGCAAGCTATTCACCGAAGGGCTTGTTTCCGACATCTTCCATGCTTTCTTTTCTGCTTGGATGAAGACACCAATGGCAAGAATCATGCTCCAGACAAAAATTGAGTTTTTCTTTATATTCCTCATCATTTGTCATCATATTCCTTATCATTTATTATATTCGTAAACCCCGCCCCAGATCCAATTTATTCCAGACCTGTATATAATTGTATATAATCCCTCCTAACCCCAACAACAAGATTACACTACTTCCTTATTTTGTATATGACCCAAGTCTATTTCTCTTTTCATGTTCTAAGAAAAGAAAATAAACATATTTTGTAACCGCGAACGGAATTTCAGAATTTCAGAATTTCAGAATTTCAGAATTTCAGAATTTCAGAATTTCAGAATTTCAGAATTTCAGAATTTCCGAATTTCAGAATTTCAGAATCTCAGAATTTCAGAATTTCCGAATTTCAGAATTTCAGAATTTTAGAATCTCAGAATTTCAGAACTTCAGAATTTCAGAATTTCAGAATTTCAGAATTTCAGAATTTCCGAATTTCCGAATTTCAGAATTTCATAATCTCAGAATCTCAGAATTTCAGAATTTCAGAATTTCCGAATTTCAGAATTTCATAATCTCAGAATCTCAGAATCTCAGAATTTCAGAACTTCAGAATTTCAGAATTTCAGAATTTCAGACATTCAGAATTTCAGAATTTCAGAATTTCAGAATTTCAGAATTTCAGAATTTCAGAATTTCCGAATTTCAGAATTTCAGAATTTTAGAATTTCAGAATTTCAGAACTTCAGAATTTCAGAATTTCAGAATTTCAGAATTTCCAATTTCCCGAATTTCAGAATAAAAGAATTTTCGGGAATTTCTTAAGGAATTTTCGGGAATTTAGAACTTCTGAATTAAGGAATTTTTTATTCCAGACCTGTATATAATTGTATATAATCCCTCCTAACCCCAACAACAAGATTACACTACTTCCTTATTTTGTATATGACCCAAGTCTATTTCTCTTTTCATGTTCTAAGAAAAGAAAATAAACATATTTTGTAACCGCGAACGGAATTTCAGAATTTCAGAATTTCAGAATTTCAGAATTTCAGAATTTCAGAATTTCAGAATTTCAGAATTTCATAATCTCAGAATCTCAGAATTTCAGAATTTCAGAATTTCCGAATTTTAGAATTTCATAATCTCAGAATCTCAGAATTTCAGAACTTCAGAATTTCAGAATTTCAGAATTTCCGAATTTCAGAATTTCAGAATCTCAGAATTTCAGAATTTCCGAATTTCAGAATTTCAGAATTTTAGAATCTCAGAATTTCAGAACTTCAGAATTTCAGAATTTCAGAAGTTCAGAATTTCAGTATTTCAGAATCTCAGAATTTCAAAACTTCAGAACTTCAGAATTTCAAAATTTCAGAATTTCAAAATTTCAGAATTTCAGAATTTCATAATTTCTATAAATAGTAAATTCTGACATTGTGACACTGTGACCTAAAAAAGGGACACTGTGACCTAAAAAACTCAACTTGTGGAAGCTAGGCCACTATTCAAAATGTAATTTTTCATCAAAAAAGATCTACTAGATGAGTTTGAGGGGATTCTGCTTCTATTTACTGTCCCACTTCAAGTCATAATCTACCTCTCCTCCAATTGGTTCACGATGGATTAGGATCTGTGTGTATGTGCTTTTTTCTTCTAAATTCATAGACAAGCAAACTTCAAAAAAGAGGAATCTCAAACAATTGGATGCACAATAATTATGGAACGGTTTTGGAGAAACAGAGAATGAACTTCAAATAAACGAAGTTTGAAAAATAGATTTCAAAAACTCAAAAGAAAACCTCACCTTTTTCAAAAAACTATTCGAAGAGATGTGGATATAATAGCGAAAAACCAGAGAATATTTACAAAAATAAACAAGGAGTTCTCCAGAATCCATTCATTTAAAAGATTCTTGGAGAACTCCTGACAAGTTTAGACGTCTATTCAGTCAAGACATCAAAAGTAAAAATGAAGTTGAGTGTGTCGAGGGCAGAGGGGCGACTCGACCGTCCCATATTCTGTTCCCTCGCTGGGTCTCTCCTATGTTTCACGCTCTCTACGTTTCACCATCTCTTATGTCGCAACGTGTATGTGTGCGTGGTTCTCCACCACACCATACGCTCACTGTTCTCAGCTTCCCTTCTCACATACGTCATAATGCTAAAATCTCAAATTACTTTTCGGTGCGCAATAACGGTCAACTTCTCCTTCTTCCCCCCCCCCCCCTCCTTCCTCTAACTGTGTGCCCCTTCTTCCTCTAACTGTGTGCCCCTTTTTCCTCTAACTGTGTGCACGCATCCAGAAGTGGGCGCGCGCCTTGTCCCTTTTTGACTGCATAACTTTCTCCAGGATCGAAATTGAGCTTTCTGAACAGCAGGATACATACTGCTCCAAGATTCCGAAGCCGTCGTGGGTCAATAATCTTCATTCAATCATAATTCGGTTCATATTTGAGCTACAAGCATAATTTTACTACCATTCGAATCCTCTCTTCAAGCTCAACAAATGAGCAAACTAAACTTTTGAGAGTCAGGGAAGCTGCAAGACAAAACCGCGCTTAGCGAAGCCGGTCGTAAGCATTCATCATATCAGAGTTCGAATTCTCAAAATAATCCTCAGAAAATGTGTAAAGCGTGCACAAAAGACCACTTCCTCCGAAAATAGACTACTTTTAAATAGAATGATCAAAAAATTCAAATCCGTGTATTGAGATTTTAAAAAGAAAAGATACAGTCGTGTAGATAGCCAAAAACAGATACAAACAATCTAAACTCCAGTCTTATATGTTTATAAAACTTCTGAAGAACTGTGAAACAGCAATTGAAAATATTGAACTATTCTAGGAAAAAAAAATCATGTCATTAAAGATGAAAAATGTATGTTTTCTAAATTTTCCGAACAAACTGATTTAGGGGTACAAAACTCATGTTTCGCTCGTACAAAACTTTTAGCAACTTGTATTTTTTGTACTTCTGAATTGAAATTTTGTCTCTAAAAAAAATTTACGCTGGAACACTGTGTTTCGTTCAACTAGCTATGCAAATGCGCTGTTTTGATAAAGGGGCGTGGCTGTAGCCAAATTGATGGCTGAGGATCAAACGTTTGATCCTCAGCAATTTCGTTGTCTTCGTCTCTTCACCGAAATATCGTCTCTTCACCGAAATGTTCTGCGTCTCTTCACCGAAACAAAATCTTTAGTTTTAGGGGAAAATTTTTCATTTTTGAAAATTTGAAAAAGCTTCGCCCCGCCCCTTATCAATAGAGCGAGCATGCAAAGATAGAAAAACAAACCCTGTGCTGGCATCGTGTACCTCCGAATCACTAATTTTGTACCTCTATATCAGTTAAACCTACTCGTACACTCGAATCGTTAATAATATGGAAAAACCTACATTCGAGACATTCAACTGGGATTTTGAAGACGTCACAACTGCTATCACAGACCAAAACTAAAAAAAATCAACAACAGTATTGTCTCAAATGCTGAAAAATACGGTGATGCGATGTTAGAATTTTCTCCCGATATACCTAACTATATCAAACTATGACTTTTTATCATTTCCTGGTACTAAAACCTTATACACTGCGGGACATAATTATAGGTCCACTTTACGTTTTGTTATTTTTCTAAAATCTCGAGAGGCTTGATAAACGTTCCTGGTACTAGTATTTAAGGGATTCATTTTTTGTAGATCGTAGATCCTCTCATGTTTTCCTTTTTCCCATCAAAAGGACATCATTTTTCTGTGTAGTGTAATCAACAAGCAATGTATTTTTCATGTGCCAGAATTTCTATTATTTTTTCGTTCAAATAAACTAATAAATACATGAATAAATATGTTCTGATGAATTGTTCACGATCCCTCAAACGATTCACGCTTTTGGCAACCAGCAACGATGCTTGTTCCGATGAGCTTTTGCCGCTTTCCATGTGACAAATTATATAAGCGACACAGATTGCAGTAAAAGTGGAAGCATTGGCTGAAAAACGGAATTTCAAACAAAATTCACGAAAAAAAGAATGGGTACCTGTGCTCTCCAGCATGCTCAAATATGTCCTCCATATCTCCCATGAACTTGCAGAATTCAGTATTTTTGCAATGGCTAGACGCATTTGTAGAAGTGAATCTGATCATCCGTTGATTTCCTGAAAAATCCTGACGATTTTCAATTTTATGAGTTGTAGACTCACTTATTAGTATTTTACCATCAAAGCTTGGTTGTAGTCGTCCAGTTCTTGACGATACATTTTTTGACGAAGGTGATCACCGGAAAAAATATGATGACGATGGATAGTTTTCTTTGAATTTGACTCAATTTATCTAGGTTTATTTGAAAGATATAGAAAAAGTTGTCAACTGACAAAATAGCAATCAAAACACCCTTAACACTTCATCAATTCACAAAGTTTTGATATATGTTACGGAAACCAAGGTAGACTGTGTCAAAGTAAGAACACTTATATTACAGACAGGGTTGACGACCGAAGGGTCCTCTAACGGTGACCTAAGTTATATGTATTTTTTATAATCTTCAAGATAATTGGGCCAGATGGCTTTCAGTCTCCAATTCGGCCTGTAGAAGGGTCCTCTAACTTTAACCTAAATTGTCACCGTTTCTGTAAAAGACTTTAAAAAAGAAGTCAACTGACAAAATAATATTGCTATTATGATAAACGTTTTGCCAGTTGAACATTTGTGGGTACCTTTTACAGGAAATGAGATATATGGGCTCAAAATAGACGATTTGGGAAGTGAGGGCGTACAAGTAGAGTGCTTACGGTCATTTCATTGAAGTTTGGAATGTCGTTACCCAGAACTGATATGTAGCATAGAGTTGTTGAATAGAAAGACAATGACATTTCACGAATTTGCAGTTTTTCGAATTTTCCTATTTTTTCTATTTTTACTAGGGATGACCGAAATCTCTTCGTAAATTTTTTGACTATATTCTGGAAAAATTCATATGCCCTGAAACATGTCTGCTACTTGCATGCTAATCTCGAAAAAAAAGTCTCACCTTTGAGTAAAAAATAATGAAAAAAGAATCTCGCGAAATTTTCAGAACTAGTAAATATAATAGTATAGAATTAGAGAATATTCAGAATAATCAAAAAAGGAGTTCTCCAAAATCCATTTACTTCTAAGATCTCCCTTGGAGAACTCCCGGTTAGACGTCTATTCATTCAAGTCGTCATAGGAAAGAGTGAGGTTAGTTGTGTCGAGGGCAGAGGGGCGACTCGGCCGTCCAATTTCCTTTTTCAAGGTCACCTATTTTGTTACACAATCTAATTCGTGCCATCTGCTATCTCATAATGTAGCGT